GCGACTTAAGACTGGTTTTGTGGTCCAGGGTCACATATATTATTAAAATAAAAAGTTGCATATGTTCAAACTGAGCTAATATGAACTAACAATGAACCAACCGTATTTTGATTTGCTAATGTTAAAAAGATTAATAAATACTGCAACAAATGAATTGCTCATTGCTAGTTAATGCATTAACTAATGTTAACCAATGGGACCTTATTGTAAAGTTTTACCAGTAAATCTAAAACTGCTGATTTTACTGCGGAGTATCACTTAAAGGTTAAAAAAAAGTGAAAAGGTAAGTGAACACTTGCATAAATTATGCTCTTTGCATGATTTCATATCTATGTTCATATCTGCACACTGGCAAATGTTTGAGTAAATCTTTTATTTTTGACTTCAACTATATAATTTGGCAATGGAAGTTTACTTTAATTGTTTTGCAGAGTAAAATAGGTTTATTTGGGAAATGAAGGTAATTGCAGTGTTTGTTCGGCTGGGAATGGGGAACTGCATTGGCACACCTCTCAATTGTGTAAGAGGGGAAATATTTCCCTAAACTCTACACCTCACCATCTGTTTGTTGGCTAGTCGTCTACTGTGATATTGCGGAACAGGTAGGCCATGGACTCCCCGTTGTGAATGCGTCGGATAGCCTCGGCCAGGATCATACTGACATCCACTGTCTTGATCTTAGGACACTGCAGCTTTTGCACTTCATGAGGGACAGTGTTGGTCACCACCACCTGAAAGACCATAAAGATATCCCAAACATTTGGTCATGCTACATCATTTTATACACTAATTCACATCAATATTTACATGCAAATACATGCCATTTAAACAGCGGATGGACTTCTAGCTCATTCTCAGGAAATAATGCCACTTGTCTATTAAAAAACCTTCATGAATTTATTTTGATTCCATTTGAAAGACTTTTTTGAAGAATGACATGCCCAAAGTATCAGAGCAGTATTTGCCATACACACTGAGGGACCTCCATATGCCTCCCAAATGGTCAATAATATCTTTGAATGGCAGTTTAGCAATGTTTCCGCTTTCCTAAATACACGGTTATGGTTGGTTAGAGCCTTGCAAAATCTAACCGTTACTTAAGTCACATTGTGTCCACTGTAACATTATTTTCATGCTTCAAATGTGAATAGCATCAGCCATGCAATAAATTACAGATTATAATATGAATTATTTTTTTTTCCAGAAAATGCATGAAGCATGTAGACAGTAAAAGCATGTACAATTTTTATTTCAATAAAAGCTTTTCTTCTTTTTTTGGAGAATTAGAATGAGCCATTCACTTCTCAATGGACGTGCATTATAAACGAGCTGAAAGACTCACTTCGTCTATGGCGGACTCCTCGATGAGGCGCGGGGCGTCTGCAGACAAGAGGCCGTGGGTGGCCATGATGTAGATCTTATAAGC